CCCACCTCTCCCAGAACTAGAGCATTTTTTTTTTGAGATGGAGATGATCCCTCCCGATATTAGGGTTATCTGAGGTCTCCTGCCTATCTCCAAGGACAGCAGAGAGAGAGGAAAAAAGAACAAAAAACAAAAAACAAGCAATGTCCTGAACCCTGGAGGGTTTGAGCAGGAGGTCTCTGCTGTCATGGCCCAGGGGCTCCAGACCAAATGTCAGAAAGCCACAGCCACAGGGCATCATGAGAAGGGTGGTCTTCAATATTCAGGAAGGGGACGGAGGAACAGTCTGCGAAGTCAGCCCCAAGAGCAAATAGATGAGGGACATAGAGGATGCTGCCTAGCTCTTTGTGCTCAGAATATGTGTAGCCCCTAGCATGGATAGGAAAACAGGTTGGGTTGGGGGTCATGGGGAAAGGCAGGTGGCCCTGGAGAATCCTGGGAAGGGTGGAGAGATGAAGGACATGGAAGAACTTCAGTACTTTCCCACCTTCTTGCATCATCACATCATGGAGCATTATTTCCAGCAGAAATCTCTGGAGATGTTTCCACTACTGGCTATAGCTATAGTTTTTCTAAGATGCCAAATTGACAGGTATTATTTAAGGGTCCCAAAAAGCCCCTCTGCCCTGACCTGCAAATATCTCAGTCAAATATCTCAGAGAAACTCCTTGGTACTAATGAATTCTCCAGAAGACACCCCATGCAAAGATTTTGCCAAAGATATGGCTATGCACATACCATCCATCTGTCTGGAATGTTCTCCTCAGACTTTTCTGTCAAATTTTCATGCATCTTTCAAGACATTCGTTAGGTCCATGCCTCTTTCCTAGATACTCAAATAGCTTTCTCATATACACTTCTATTAGAACTATTGTCCCTCTGTAAAATTGTTACATGTTTACAGATTGCGCCCCCCCCCCCAATGGATGGAGAGTATAATAATATAGCTCACTAAATGGGGCAGTGTATGTGAAATGCTTGGTATGAAGTAGGCACCAAGTAAATGTTAGCATTTTTTTTTCTCTTGCCTTCTGTCAGTTCTTACTAGGATTCACTTTTTTCCCACCTGCTTCCTTATCACCACTATAATCCATTCCTCAATCACTTTAAGAACCCCCTAACTGCCTTTCTAGTTACCAATGTCTTTCTTTTAATAGGTCTTATGGGCTTCTGACTAATGAACTTCCCTAAGATATCTCTGTCCTTGCATTTCTCCACTAGTCCTCGTGATTCCTAGGTTCCTAGTGATCTATTGCACCAGCCCCAAATACCTAGCAATGTATCCAGCAGTAACATAAAACTCTTACTAATCCTTTTCAGGGAATCTAATCCTTAGGCACCAAACATGCTGTGCTAATGACCAGTTCCAGGACCTCTGTTCTTATATCTCCTAACCCACAGTATTCTTTCTCCACACCACCTTTCAAATCCTCCCTTCCAGGTTTAGATTAAGTTGGAAATCCTCCATAAATCAATTAAATTCTTTAATTAGTCAATTAATAAATGTGTATTGAGTCATGCAGTTGAGGGATGGGAATAAAAAGGAAAGTCTCTGGGCTCTCAGGAGCTGAAGTCCTCGTGGAGGTTTGATGCTCACTCAGATCCAGTATCAACTTTTCGATAGAGATGCCAAGTGTAACCCATATTTGTTTGGCTCTCTCCATTACCTGATAATTTAGGACTCTACTTTCCTGGAAAGCTTCCCCTGAACATTTCTGAAAGTTGATAAAGGGTGTCTCACTTACGCTCATGAACAAGAACTTGGCAGCTTCTCTATCAGCTAGGGATGCTTCTGTCTGCAGGTAATAGAACACTTGACAGTGTCTTAAGCAACAAAAACACGAATGTTTCACAACTCTCAGAAATCTAGAGGTAGGCGGTCAGACACGAAGCTTAGTATGAGTTCAGAGAATGACTGATAAGTAGCAAAGTTGACTACACTTGGGCTATTGAGTCTGCTATGGGTCCTTAAATTCTCCCTGACTACTGAAAAGATATTTTCCAGTGACTGAGGTAGGGATGTACATATAAGAGGAGATGGGAGTGATGGTGATAGGGGATCAAGTGGCCCTGTGTGGATGAAGGAAGAATATATGAGCAGGGATCTTATAGGGAATAAGTTAATCATTTAATTTTTTTAACCATGTCAGCTATGCTTGACATTCAACCACATTGGTAGTCTATTAAACACAAAAAATGAGGAAAAGGGAATACCAGCACATTTATTGCATATACTTCCTATCTTCTTTTTCTTCCTAGACTTCTAATTTCTGTACCTATATTTAAAATCCTAGTGTTCTTTGGTCAGTAATCAAGGCCTAAAGAAACAATGTCTACAGAAGGACTATCCACGTGGTTGCTGGTTACATTGTTAGTGACATTGTTGCTAACCTACCCAGCATCCATTTCCTCCTTCTTTCTTTCTAATAGAATTTGAATGTTATTCAAGTATGGATCCAACCCAAAGTTGTCTCAGGGAAGGTTGAACCTCCTTGGATGAAGCTCAACAATGTCTTAAAAGACCCAAGCTCTTTGCAAACTTTTGCTTCACTGTCCATGGTATCTTGGCTTTTCATCCTCCTACTTATAGCCCATGACCTCTAGATGGCTGTCATCACTCCAGGCATCATGAGTAATTCAAAGACATGAAGCAAGTGGAAAGGTCAAGAGGCTTTCTCTTCTCAGTGCTTTGTCTTTTTATTCAGAAAGAGAAGCAGGCCAACTGCCTAGTTATCATATCTGGATTCCTTCCTCTAGATTCTATTGAACCCCAGTGGACATTTTACCCTTTTTCAGGCACCACTGTCCCTCTTAGTAGGGTTGCTACATTTACCAATGAAAATACAGGACAACCAGTTAAAATTGAATTTGATAAACAACAAATAATTTTTAGTATAAATATGCCCCAAATGTTACATGAGATATACTAAAAAGCTATTTCTTGCTTATCTCAAATTCACATTTTTTCAAGATTTTATTTATTTATTTATTTATTTATTTATTTATTGAGCATTAGTGAGGGGGAGGGTCAGGGGGAGAGGAAGAGAGAGAGCAGACTCCCTGCTGAGTGTGGAGCCCGACAGGGGCATCGATCTCATCACCCTGAGACTATGACCTGAGCGGAAATCAAGAGTCGGACACTTAACCAAATCAGCCACCCAGACACCCCTGAAATTCACATTTAATAGGGCACCCAGTATTTTATCTGGCAACCCTTCCTTATGGGCACTGCCAACTTTCACCAGGTACGATCATCTCCCTAAGGAATTGATAGGATGGCCTTGAGTTCTCAGAATGCCACAGCACTGGGATTCAAGTGAGAAACTTCACCTGAATGCCTCTCTTCACCATTCATTTCACACTCTATTAATGGAATCCCAATGAAGGTGGCATGGGGGCAGAAGAAAATGTGAATGACAAACGCTATGAAGTACCCAGCATTGCTTCTTCCCTCTGAAGCCAAAGGTTTGGCCAACCTTGTCTGCCCACCTTGGCTCTAACTTGGATGTGTCTTTACCAGGAGGCTCCAGCCCTGTTGTCTTGGGCAGTATCTTTTCATTTCATGCAAATAGACCTATTCACCTGTCAACACAGACATGTCAGAATCCTAGAAGTAGACATGGCTTAGTCCCATAAGTAGACATGGCTTAGACTTAGCCATGGGACTAAGCCTAGAAGTAGACATGGCTTAGTCCCATAGCTGCATAAGCCATGTGCTATTCAGAAGAGAGACAAAGGCTTTGCCACTTAAGACCATCTTCATGGAAATTTGAATTTGGCTCGGTTCTTGAAGGAAGGAAGTGAACAGGTCAGCAAGCAAGAGGAGGATGTGAGTGGGAGATGGGAGAAAGTATGTTGTCTGGAGACTGTGAAGAAACCAAAACTAAATAGAGCAGGGGTGGCTTGCTGTGGCGTCATGGAAGTGAGGCTGAGTAAATTCAGGACCATATTGCAGAAAACACTGCAAGCAAGGAAGGGCAGTGAGTTTGATCTAGTAGGAAATAGAGAACCTTTAGAGCTCCCTGATCAGGATCAGTGACCAGATGAAAACTGCATTTTCATATTGCTTCAGCCATAGAGAGAGAAATCACAAAACCATGCCTACTCACAAAACTGAAGTTAGAAATTGTTTTTCAAGCTATTAAACTTTGCAATCCAAAAAAAAAAATATGTCAGATCACTCAATCTAGGCTTGTTTTTTTTACATTTCCCCCTTATCATTCCCTTGTGTAAATTTAAGTCCCTCAAAGAGAAACCCAGCATATTTTGTTGAAGGTATGCATTCCTTTGCCAGTTAGGAAATCCGAGCCTTTAGAGGAATTCACAATTTTTAGCTACATTCTTTAGTTACTGGACAAAAGAATAAGACCATCTAGTATTTGAGAAAAATGTATATTCTTAGATATTTAAGGTAATGTGAACTTCATCTCACGCGCAAGGATGTTCCTGGGCAACTTGGATCATTACTAACTCTCTGATAGACACTTCCTTCCTCCTGGACCAGGGGCTTGTTTACAGCAGCATTCCCCACCTGCCAATAAGAACAGCTCCCCCTTCACCCAACTGCCCTCTCACCCTGCAACACCCACAGGTTTTTCCTGCATTATTGCCCAAAGAAGTGAGTACACTTGTTTTCTAGTTAAACACTGTTCTCAGAACAGTACAGTTGATTTGACCCAAGGTAAATCCCTCCCCTTTTCACACGTTGTATCTCAGAAGGGCCCCTTCCCCTCCCCAGAGTCTGGTGACCTCTATTCCTTCCATACTGCTTTAAACCCTATCCTGAAAAGGATCTAATAAACTATTTCACACGAATACTTGGAGATGTTCACGTGGGGGTTGGGAGAAACCTGGAAAATTGAAAGACAAAAGAATATAATGCAACCCCTTTCTAAGACTTTTTCTTTTCTTCTTCTCCCAGAAAAAAAAATTTTTTTTAGGCAGATCCAATCAGCAAGCAGCGCGTGCAAACGTCCTAGGCCAGGAAGCCTTGTTTACGCCCAGCGGAGAAGACCTGAAGTCCGTGGCACTGTGGTGATAAGGAAACTCAGGCACAGACAGTTTAAGTGACTTGCCCAAGGTCACACAGCTTTTTTTCTTATAAGGCTAATTATTACAAGGCACATGTCAGTGAATTAGCAAGATCTAGATCCAAACAGTACTACAGACATGGAAGATGTTACAAATGCTGAAGAAGAACTTATTAAAGAATGTGAAGAAATGTGGAAAGATGTGGAAGAATGTCAGAAAAAATTATCACTTGTTGGAACTGAGACACTCACTGATTCAAATGCTCAGCTGTCATTATTAATTATGCAAGTGAAATGTTTGACTGCTGAACTCAATCAATGGCAGAAAGAAAGTCCTGGAATAATTCCACTGAATGAAGAAGTTCTTGTAACATTAGGTAAAGAAGAGTTCCAAAAACTGAGACATGATCTTGAATTGGTGCTCTCTACTATTCAGTCAAAGAATGAAAAGCTAAAGGAAGACTTGGAAAGGGAGCAACAGTGGTTGGATGAACAACAACAGATACTGCAATCTCTTAATGTACTACACAGTGAATTGAAACATCAGGTTGTGACATTTTCTGAATCAAGAATCTTTGATGAGCTGAAAACTAAAATGCATGATATAAAAGAATATAAGGAGAAACTCTTGATTACCTTGGGTGAGTTTCTGGAAGATCATTTTCCTCTGCCTGATGGAAATGTGAAAAAGAAAAAGAAAAACATTCAAGAATCAACTGCACAGCTGCTAACACCGCATGAAATGTTAGAGGTTAAAAAATGGCCATACTTTAGTAACTAATCAGCCAAATGTTTTGCTTATGAAAATTTACCATCATTCTTTTTTTCCTATTGGATTGAAAAAAAATGAATCCAGATAGAGAAGAAAGTATGGGATGTTGGGAAAAAGTACCTGTTAAACAGTGGAACATCTAATAATTAATTTGCAAGAAATTTTAAAGACATAAAATTGTTATGCTTCAGAAAAAAAAATTTTTAAAGGGGGAGGATGGAGGGATTTCTTGTTTTAGTTCTGTTTTCCTTGGAACTTTTCCACTATGACATTGACATGTTTGCTAGGCTGGAAATGGTCACCAAAGCTGTGATTCTTCCTAGAAAAACCAGAAGGAAACCATTTCTAAACTAAGTGAAACTCAAATTATGAGAGTTTAGGCATTAGCCATTCCAAGGAGACACTATTTCTTTAGGCCAAGAAGCATTTCCAGTATGAGGAACAGGTTCTGCGAAGGTCCATGTCACAGTATTCACAGGTGAGGAAGTAGAGTAAGCCTCCTTCCTTTTCCTGCCCCTGGCCACTCTGTTCTCCCTGGAGATGACTTTTGTGATCAGTTTCTTTGGTGTCCTCCTTCCAGAGATAGTCTATGCATTTTCAAAAATATAGGGTTATCTGAAGTTCTTTTATTGGTTTATTTGGTTATTTTTGTCAGAGATATTACATTCACATGAGTTAAACAAGAACAAATATAAAAGATAATCAGTGAAAAGTCAACCCTGTTCTCTGTCATCTCCATGGTTTTTCCTCTCTGCATCAACCCTTCCCCAAAACCCATCAGCTAACTGCTTTTGTTATGTTCTTATGAATTATCCCAGACCTTTTAAAAGAACATATGAGAAAATACAATTCCATTTCTTCCACTCAAGAGATTCTTTAATTTGGGACTCTATAAAGACATCAAGAAAAATTATTTCAAAAAGCAAACTATGCATTAATGGAATTAACTATAAGCAGTTTACGAACGGTAAATTGAGCATAAATATATACAAAAAACTACAAATAATAAAAAAAATTTAACTATATAAGGTTCCTTTGCTTCAGGATATTGTGATCACCTTAAAAGGGACCTCTCCTTTTTTTTTTTAAGATTTTTTTTTAATTATGTTATGTTAGTCACCATACATCATTACATCATTAGTTTTTGATGTACTGTTCCATGATTCATTGTTTGCGTATAACACCCAGTGCTCATTGCAATACGTGCCCTCCTTAATACCCATCACCAGGCTAACCCATCCCCCACCCCCTCCCCTCTAGAACCCTCAGTTTGTTTCTCAGAGTCCATAGTCTCTCATGGTTCGTCTCCCCCTCTGATTCCCCCCCTTCATTTTTCCCTTCCTGTTATCTTCTTCTTCTCCTCCTTCTTTTTTAACATATAATGTATTATTTGTTTCAGAGGTACGGGTCTGTGATTCAACAGGGGCGCCTGGGTGGCTCAGTCATTACGGGACCTCTCCTTTTAAATGTTTTATAAAAATCAATATCTCTAAGGCTGGGCCAATCAAAAAAGCTGCCAGCAGTACACCAAACCAGGTGTACCTAGTATATACCGGACAGGTGTGTCCTGCCCACCAGTGGCCTGTTTGCCCCTGGGTCGGTCTGTGCAATGCTGGGGACCAAGGTGATTTACCACCTAGGTCGGCTCTGTGGTTTTGCCCACCACAGACAGGGGTGGTATTCATAGACTGCTATGGCTCTGGGTGGGAAGAGGGGACTCTGCCCTGAGCCCCACCCTTCTGAGGGTACCTTTATTTGAGAGTTTCATAGATCCTCCTAACTCCAGCAGCCTGGCATTTTACTGCCTAACCATTGCTTTCCTCTCATGGATGGGCTCTACCAGCCTACCGTATAGTTTTGTAGGTTACTGCCTCATTGACCTACTCAGGATAACCCAACTGTAAGCTCAGGGACCTAGCTGTGTCCCACTGCATTTGTTCCTGCTGCTTCTCCTCCTTGGAATCCCCTCTCTATGCAATCCTAATGTTTGAAGTCCCACCCATCCTTTAAAATCCAGTGCAAGAATCCCCTGAAAGCAACCCAGACTTCCCATGTAAAGGTATGTCTTGCTCTCCTCAACCCCTTACTGCTGGTTCTATCATACAATCACATTCTGCTTATACCTGTCATTCCAACTATAATTATAAGTTGGAATGTTTTCCCCCTATCATCAGACTATAAATTTTGTGACTTTGGTTATTTATCTCTGTAGTCTCCATGGCATAGCTTAGCATGGTGCCTTAAATATTGTAGGATTTCAAGACACATTTATTAAACAGAATTGAATTGTTTGTTTGCTTTAACCCTCATTCATAGCCCAATTGAATAGTATTAGGGGTGTGGGAGGACAGGGGTAGTGCTGAAAATCTCATACTTGATAGATCAAAAAAAAAAAAAAAAAGAGCTTTCCAAGTAGATAGTACAGCAGGAGGTTAAAAATTCAATCTCCAGATTTAGCATGACCTGAAATCAATCCAGATTCTGCACTTACTAGCTACAAGATCTCAAGCAAGCTGCTTGACTTCTCTAAACTGGTCTCTTCAAATGTAAAACAAGGTTGAGAATAATATATCTACTTTATAAAGGACTTAGAACAGTACCTGGCAGACAGGAAGTATTCAATCATTACTATTTTTAGTAGTTTGTACTGGGGCAACTGTCAGTTTCACCCATTTCTGGTCCTAAGGCTTTGACAGTAGCAGCTGAAGTCAGAAGCTCTTTGAACCAATGCTCAGAGCACTTCCACTCCCAAGCTGCTATTTGCTTGGGAAGAGGGAAATAAAAAAGCCATCAATGAAATCTCAGCGAGCCTTCATTTCCCACTGGGGAAGCAGGATGAATAATAATTGTGCATGTTTTATCCAAGTCTATTCATTGGTTCAAAAATAAACATTCTCATTTCGAAACTGACACCAATACTGAGAGCCACAGGGCACATGTTTTTATTTGCTATTTGTTACTATCCATTAGTGTTCTTAAAATGTTATTTTTTAAATCCGTCCATATAGCTCAGTAGAGTCTCAATAAGAAACAAACAATTGAACTTAAATATTAGGAAGTTTTCCATCATTTAACAAAGAAAGAGCACTCAGCTGACAAAGGACATGGAAAATTTACAATTTCTAAAGCAAAGGTCAGAGGTAGCCTACAAATACCATGAAGCCTTGCAAAAGTTCAGGAAGCAGAGAGTTAATGACTGGGACCTGCTTGTCTGTCATGCTGGAAATTTCCACTGCTTGTTTTGTTGGCTGTGGAAAGGGTTATACATGGAGAAGAGCTGTTTCCACGTGTGTGTGTGTGTGTGTGTGTCTTTTTCTTCATAAACCCTTCGCAATGCTGTGTCATGTTCTGTTTTCCTTCCAGCTTTCTTTGTCTTCCTGCCTTCTGGAGTCACCAGAGAGCTCTCTCCTGGCTTCTTTATTGTATAACCAATGTCCTGTGGTACATGGCCTTACTCCCACTATCTGATCTATTAATATTCCCATTGCAAAGACATTATTAATGATACTTGTTAATGAAATAGTTATTTAGAAAAATACAATAAAATACTTACTGACTCGTGGAAACAAAGAGAATACAAATCCAGGACATTTGACGTTTTATGAAGAATGATAGAAACTCAATCCCTTAGAGCAGAAAGGGACATAAAAAGCAACATTCGAATCAACCCCCTCCCCTTTTTTATTGTAGATGATGACAATGAGGCACAGAGAAAAGAAGCAATGTTCCCGAAGTCTCAAAGCTAATCACAAAGTCCGGCCTTAGGACTAACAATGTATGGCCAACCCCATAAAAGATAGAAATAGAGTGGTTACCCACTGTGGTCATGGTCTGTAGTTAAGAAATAGCAAGACCGCTTTCCTCCGGGAGTCACGTTTGGGAAATAGGAATACCAATATGGCACACTGAAATCCTATTTGTGAAGCAGCACCGCTAAAACAAACATTGCAGAACTTAAATATCAAAGTAAGTGTGGATGAAGAGAATTGTTATGTCTCCTTGAGCGTCTCCGTTTCTTCTAGGAGCCAGGGGAGGATTAACAGCTAAATTGCAGGCATGTGGGAGCAGCTGAGAGTAGATGACTGACACATCCCGAAGCTGTGAGGGGCTCGTATGTCGGGGCTAACATGGGATCCATCTGAGGTAGAACTGTAGAGAAATGTGGCTAAAGGGAGAAAGAGTGACAAAGGAAGAGGCAGGAAGATGCCTGCTTGCCCTGCTCGTGCCACTGTCTTGATCTTTGGGGGAATTTCTTATAGTGTCCACAGAATTTCTGCTTTTCTCTCTGGGCAAGTATTACATGAAACATCCTCTGGGTCCTTTCACTCAGTCTTTAAAAAAAAAACACAGAAATTTATTTTTTCACAGTTCTAGAGGCTAAAAGTCTGAATTTATGGTGCCAGCATGAATGGGTTCTAGTGGGAGCCCTCCTGTTGGCTTGCAGATGTCTGCCATTTACTGTGTGTTCATATGGCTTTTCCTGTGTGTGGGGGGGGGGGGGGTGTGTGTGGAGAGAGAGAGAGAGAAGGAGGGAAGAGGGTGGAAGGGAAGGGGAGGAGGGAGCACCCAAGCTCTCTGGTATCTCTCCTTATAAGGGTACTAAACTCACCATGAAGGCCCTACCTTTATGACCTCATCTAGACCTAATTTTCTCCCAAAGGCCCCATCTCCAAATACCATCACATTGGGGTTAGGAACTCATCATACGAATTTTGAAGGGACACAATGCAGTCTAGCACCAGTTCATAGAATTGGTGCTGTGCACAGAAAGATTTGCCTTTATTGGCTAGAAAGGGCAAGCTTGAAACCAACCAATGACTTCCTAAAAGTGACACCACAGGCACTGGGTCATCAGGGTTATTTATGACACCGCAAATGATTAAGTCGGGCGGTCACTGGGCTCCTTCTGCCTCTCAAAGCTCCACTGCCCTTGTAACATGACTCCCTGCAGTTGAAGGGGAGATGGGAAGCCCTCCTGGTGGAGGGCAAGGGAGCCTTCTCAGGGCCAA